ATTTTGATATCCTAATTTGCTTATCTAATCCTTGAACAATTTACTGAGAAAGTCTACTGTAAATTTTTTTATTTTTATTTTTTATTTTTGTAGCAGAACCAGGGATTGAACTCAGGCCCTTCAGCTTGCCAGGGAAGCGCTTATTCCACTGAGCCATCTCCCCAGTCCTAAAATTTCTTCCCCACACCCCCCTCCCCCCGGTACTGGGGATTGAACTCAAGACCCTGCGCTTGTCAGGCAGGTGTTTATTCTACTGAGCTATCTCCCCAGCCCTTATATTTTCTAATGAATAGTACCATGTATTTCAATTATTTCAATGGTGAAAATATGGCCCTGGTATCTCACTGAAAAAAAAAAAAAAAAACTGTATTAAGGAAATCTGAAACAGAGGAAATCTATTCAGCTGTATTAAATGAGATATTTCCTGAGAGGACACACTGGAGAAGTAGTCATTATTAATTTCAAGAAAAGCTTAGCAAGACATATGAAATTTTTTTTAAGAAAAATCTTCTCTATAACCCTACAAAACATACTGAAATTCTGACTAGTTTTCCATTTTTCTTCCAGAAATGATAATATATTCAAGTCTTTGCCTATATTATTAAATTTACTGGCTTCCAATTTGTCCTTATAAAATCATAAGTATAGCATAATTCCTCGGTTAAAGTCTACTTACTGCATTTTATAATAAAACTAAATCATAAGGGTCAGCCAAATAGCTCAGTGGATTAAAGCGCCTGCAAGCAGGTGCAGGGGCCATGGGTTCGATCACTGGGCCTGCCGCACGGGCCCTGTCCCCATGGCAAGCTGAGACAGCACTTGAGACCGGGCATGGTGGTGTGTGCCTATAATCCCAGCACTTGGGAGGCTGTATAACAGGAGAATCACAGGAGTCTGAACTAGTAGTGAGGCCCTGAATACCCTATAGATCCTTCCCTAAAACACAGGAGGAAAGAAAAAAAATTATAATCACTGCCTAAGAACAGGTAAAAGACAAATAAAAAATCCATAAGTATAGGTAACTTCCTTAAAATTATAAGTAACTAAATGAAAAGTTACTTTAGATTCAGCTATTAAAATAAAAAATTTTAGGACCACCCTCTAAAAGGTTAATTCCAACTGCAATTAACAGCCAACTGTTAATGAGAATCTGAAAAAGGATCTCACAAGATAGCAGTGAAAGGCAAGTGTCAGACACACAATATACTTGGTTTCTCTGACTAGTGCCCTTTCTTTGCTCGTTTTCTATCTTTTTTATATGGCTTTTTTCCCTGAGCAATCTAAATTTCTTCCTAGCAGGCATCAATACACAATATCAAATAGTAGAAAATTCCAACAGTAGAAAAACAAAAGGTAAAAATAATTAGAAAAAGGGGGCCGGGGAGATGGCTCAA